TAAATAGCGCAGTGTGGACAGCACATTAAAGACGTCAGCTAAAGAGCCGTGGCATGGCTTTCATGCGCCTTGGGATTTATGCCTTTGCATGTGCTCAGTCTTTCACTATAATTCACTAGAGGGAGAATCCAGTTTTCAGTAGATAGACTTAAGTAATAATGTGCACCGTTATAAGCCGCATCAGTAATACAGTACCAAAATAGAAACAGCATGAAGTTTATACAATAGAATACACAATGTATTCACTCCAAATCTTGGGCTTTTGCAGACAGATAATACAAATAATCAGATATTTGGCCTATTTCCTGCAGGTGTGGTTTCAGAATCGCCGGGCCAAATGGAGAAAAAGAGAACGCTTTGGTCAGATGCAGCAGGTTCGAACACACTTCTCAACAGCATATGAGCTTCCTCTTCTTACACGACCAGAAAATTATACACAGGTAAAAGGAAAATCTGCATTACCGATCATAAATGTCTATCTATATACAAATGTAGTTGATTAAATTTAAAAACTGCGTTTTATGATTAGTCCTTAAAAATTATGTGACATGCAGTCGAATCATGCTGAACTTAGACCAGCAACACAATTGCTTTTATACAACAGATTAATGATCAAGAAGTTTATATTTACATATATTTATATTATATTTATAACATATGTTTATATTTATTTTATCCACAATATTTAGTTGCAGCATACCTGAATGAATCATTGTTTTCATTTGAGTGAATGATTCAGTGAGTCACTCATAAAGACAGTTGTTTTGTTCCTGAAAGAATGAATGTTTTTGAATGAAACAGTTGAGTGAATAGTTCAGTGACTCACTCATAAAGCAGAGGCTGCATCCGACATTGCGTACTCTGTGAGTAGGGTATTTCTTATTACATTAGGGTTAGTTATTACATTGCAACTGTTAAAAAAAGTGTGTTCTATATACGGTAGTATGAATGTTAATAGTATATGAATGAAATCCGGGTATATGAATACAAATTAGGTCATCCAGGTACTTTTTTCATACTGTTTTATGAATATTGTGGATTCGGACATACTAGTCATTCCACACACTGTTTTCCACCTGATATATCATACGGAAGTATGCATATTAGGATATAGCCAGACACTTGTGAATGAATCATCATTATGAATTAATCGTTTCAGTTAATAATTCAAATGACTCACTCATATTTTCAAATATGTTTAAATGATTAAATATGTTTTTATTTGTTTATTTTTAGATTCAGAACCCATCATGGTTAAGTGGCAGCAGTGCAGCCTCACCAGTGCCTGGCTGTGTGGTACCTTGTGATACTGTAGCTTCCTGCATGACCCCTCACCCTCACTCTGCTAGTGGTGTGTCTGATTTCCTTGGTATGCCAAGTCCAGTTGGGAACATAGGACAGACACACATGGGCAGTCTTTTTGGCAACTCTGGAGTGGGTGGAACCATTAATGGATTTGATCTCAGTATCGAACCAGATCGCAAATCCTCCAGCATCACCAGCTTGCGTATGAAAGCAAGGGAGCACAGCTCTGCAATCACATGGGCCACATGATGCCTTCATCTGGGACACAGAAGACCAGACAACCTCAGCCCTAAGCTGTCAGCACTAATGAGGTGAATGTTTATGCCATCTGGAGCCAATATGAACATGAGAAATGGAGGCTAGAAGCTTTAAAACACTTGTAGGAGATTTAATATTGAAGTTTTTTTAGAGGAAGTGGATTGTTCAGAGCTTGAATGTGTGGA